TCTTCTCGTTTATTTATGTCAGGCTATACTAGGGAGCCGAGGCCTTTGTCAGGCACTCTAGCCTTTGGCCCCTGCTTCCCCCTTTGTGTGAAATTAAAAAAAAAAACGAAGTTCACTTCAATGAGAGTCGATATATAAGGCCTAGATCCAGGCGCTATCGAAACTGAGCGCGCCGGGCGGAAACAAGTAGCCGCCCCCGTGTTACGTCATACGGGAAGTTCAGGTACTGAACTTGGGGAAGAAAACAAAAAAAGGGGGGGGGGGGTCATCGCAGCCGTCTCAAATGCACAAAGTCAGCCACTCGAGCTTACTCGCGTCAATTGTAGACTAAATAAAGTTTTCCTTTCTTTCACTCACTCACAGAGCCCGCAGAATGGGCGGATCAGACTCGGCGGATGTCCTCGCTGTAAAATGTCCTCTGCAGTGTGCGAGGCGAACTCGATGGAAGATGAGTGGGCGCAAAAACGCATTCGCGGCACTTTTGTGGAAGGCGCGATAAACGTCCATATCCACTTGCACTCGCACAAAGCGCGCTAAAATATGCGCATAACCAACAGCTGCAGCTCTTGGCTGCGTATACCATTGAAAAAACCCCATTATTCTCGACGCCGCTCAGTTCATTCACACACATCGCCGTTCTGGCAAGAAAAGCCATGTCTTTTTAATTTTTTTTTATTTTTTTTTTGGGGGGGGGGGGGTACCGGGTGGGAGAAAGGGGGCATCATTTTGATAATTAACCTTCCTAGAGAACCACGAAGATCGGCTCACGCGATTCACGTGAGTAGAAGCTGTTAACTGATACATGTTTGCATGGTTCATAGCTACGAATCATGTAAAAATGGATCAGACAACAGGAACAGTCTTATCGATGGTCCCGCACTGTCCAAGACAGCCCTTCAATTATTACGCATGCATTACACATGCCCTACAGCTCACATAGAAAACACATACACACACAAATCATCGTGTTTTACATGGCCAAGCCTTTTCGCAATCAGGTAAACGAAATGCGCAGGGCTTGCTCAGAGCCACTTGACCGCGAGGAAGAAGGCGCGCTGGACAACGGCCATATTTAACAAGAAGATCTAGAATCTAGAATGCATGCAGAACGATCATCGAATTATTCTCGTGGTTGTCGATTTGCGTCTCCCGTGCTGTCCAGGCATCCTCACCATCCCGCGAGATCGCTCATCCCTCGAAACAAATGAAGAGTTGTGATCTTTCTTCTACGAATGCTTGAAGCACGCACTATATATATATAAACGCGAGCAGCGAGTCGGGCTACGTCTGTTAAAGCGTACCTAAGCCACGCAGAGTTCGAAGACGCGACAATGTATAGTTACTTTCTCTCCCTCACAACTTCACGCAAGCGCTATTTTCTCCTCGCCACTTATTTCTTCGCGAAACACGTGCAACGGCCGCACGGAGTTGTCGGGTGTTCGCACTTTTCGATTACGCGCTGCTATCTCCGTTCGCGCAGCCGCAAACGCAGAGTAAAAACAAAAATGAAATCACTTTTTCCCACGCGATAGTGATGCGATAAAAGGCAGAACGGACACGCCACTGCATGACAAAGCAGAGTGAAGACACTTCACTACAGATAACTATCATTTATCGACCAATCTCATTTCATTTCATAGAGACGTCACGCGAGCAAAAACTGGTGGCGTCACGAATTGTGCGCCGCAAAGACGGGAAACGTTCGGAGAATATAACACGCTCATCGTATTTCAGAGGTTTGTTTAGGGGTCCTTTAGTTTCATTTATTGATAACGCTGAACAAAAAAAAAAAAAGTGAACTCTTACAGGGAAAGGAGAACCATATTTACAAGCTCTTAGGCTGTCCGCGATCGGTCAGACAGACCATTTAAAGGATACGGGTGGCAGAAGCCAAGGAAAACGTACTACTCAAAAAAAAAAAATTTTTTTTTTTCAACTTTAGAGTGTTGTCTTGATGCACTCAAGAACAATGAACTCTTAGAAATTTTTTAAGGCGTTCCACATGAGCCGTGCAAAACAACAACAACAGCAACAACAATATAATAATAATAATAATAATAATAATAATAATAATAATAATAATAATAATAATAATAATAATAATAATAAAAACTTCGCTTCTGGGGCGACGCCTAAACCATGCCGCAAAAGCACGAACTGCTGTGCGCCTGTAAGCAGGACCTTTCAAGCTATTTAAGAATGCCTACATACTGCAAGTGGAGCTGCGAAAGGCCCACTACGCCACAATTTAACTTTTGCGAAACGACGAGGTAAACAATAATGCCAAGGAATGTATATGGGAAGTTATTAGAACCAATGTAATGTAAATAAAGAAAAGTGGGCGAAAAGAGAACCTGCCGAGAGCAGGAATCGAACCTACGACCTTCGAATAACGCGTTCGAAGATTATATATATATATATATATATAATATATATATATATATATATATATATATATATATATATATGTGTGTGTGTGTGTGTGTGTGTGTGTGTGTGTGTGTGTGTGTGTGTATGTGTGTTTGATAACAGCTGCAGCGAGAAATCTGATCTGCCAGTGGAGGATGACATTTCCTAATTTATTTACATCTATATAGCCTTCGCGTTCTCGTCAGTGCTTCCGGCGTGATACAGTGACGACGACGACGAAGCAACTCTAAAAGAAAGCAATCAAGTGGCGCAACGTCATTTCGCAGAAGAGCAGAATATTTCGAAACATTTCATTTACGCTTTTTTCTTTTTCTCCTGTCGCCATTTTTGCCGACCACCGAGAAATGAGGAAGCGAACGCAACGAGACGCAAAAATGAAACCTGGTGACCCCTGTATTGCATTATATATACTATAGCGGAAACAGCAAGCGTGCCCGCACATGTTGCCTAGTCCGATGGCAGTAAAGATAAAACAAAAAGGAATACATTTTTTTTTTTTTGAGAGAACAGAGAACAGCCATACGGTTGACTAATAAACACTCGACCAGAGAACAAAGGGCACAGACCCGAGCACAAGGACGGCGAGCTGGGCCAATACTTCGCCATGAACTAGCTTGAAGCACACCGCGCAGGACTCCTAGTAGATATCTTTAATAAACAAGAAAAGCAATGACAAGGCCAATAAAACGAATGAAGACGAGGCACTACTTGAAGTGTTCGACTGTAGTGTAGTAATTTGAAAGTAAATGTGAAGAAATTAAAGTAGACTAAAAGACGACGAAAATTATTTTCGTGCCCTTTATTTTTCTATATTTTTAAAGTCCAGTTACTACACTGCAGAACAGTGTAAGGTGCACTCTATACTTCCCTGGGGTTTGCTGTATCTTGATTTCACTAAGTTGCACAAAACAAAGAGAGCCGATGCCTTGATAAACTTTTCTAGCCTCATTCTATGATAAAGGCAAAAAGAAAATTTTGCGCATGCGTAACAGGGCAGGACGAGGCGAAAACATCCACGTCAACGAACAGCGTGAATTTTAGAGGTGACATATATGAGTAGTCGTCGCAATACGTCTAGAAGAACGTAGCTGTTAATAACTGCGGTGATTATGCGTGTTATGGAGATCATTCCGTGTTACGCGAGACTGAAATTATCATTTTTTTTTTCGGCAAAGGGATGAAACGACAAGCGAAGTGGAATCATACTACATCAGGAAAAAAAAAAGGGGGGGGGGGACACAACTGTGTTAGCAAAGCTACCATCACGAAGTACGATATTGAACAATTATTCAAGCAGTAATAACGGGTTGCACCAACACGGATGTCTTCGACGTCAGGCAATCGTAAAGGGATCGAAAATTTTTGCGTTAGGCGTTGCAAAATGAAAACGCGAACGGCACCACAATACGCATGACGGCATCCTGTACTACACTTTATTTGAACTAACCATAAGCAATGTTCCGAGTGAAATTCATCTCCGAGAAAATAGAAATTTATATGTCGGAGTCGGACCGTACTCCGTCTTTGGGATGGCGTGACACAATCTGCGATTTGCTTACCTTTGAATCCACGCGTATTTGTTAGGGAAAGCTCGGAACAGCAGCAAGCAGTGGGTAGGCCATTTTCAGGAATGAAAGGTACACAGCAATGCTTGCTGATGACTCACCAAGATTTCAGTTCCACGAGAGCGGATATTACGGTATATAATAATATAAATAATAAGACGAATGCGCACGCAATAGTGAGAAGGAGATCCGATGCAGATGTGGACATCTGTATGAGGACGAGCAAGGTTCGTCGTTACTTATACAAATAGGTCCACAGCGCAATAGAAAAAAAAAGAGGGGGGGGGGCGAGGGATAATGAGCAAGAAGAATACTGACCGCCGTTCATATTTTAGATCCCTCTACGGCACGCAGCAGTTGGCAGTTTGGCTTACGATGTACACGAGCTAGCGTACGTGCACACACGGTACTCGGTTGTAATGTATTTACTGGCGGAAGAGAGCGGCCCCCCAGAAAGAAACCGACGCTGTCGTAAGTAACAGAATTATGTATGCATCTAACATGTATCTGACAAAAAGCGGCAGAAGCTTGCTAAGATCAGAAAGTGCCCAGAGAACACGCGAGCACGGCAGTCCGGAACGTAACACGTCGCTCGCGCTTAATGTGGACTGGAGAAAACAAAAAAGAAAACAATAACGACGTAGTGCGACCACGTTTATGCTTGTGGATATGACTCGGACAACTATAACAGAAGTGTGAAGGAAGAAATAACCGTAAACAACGAACCCGGAGCAAGAGGCGCGAGTCGGCGGAGCCACTGCGCCATTTCACGAATGCGCAGCACGACGGAAAAAAGCAGTAAATGTGTTTATTATGCCTGCCGGCAGTGTTCTTTGGCCAACATTGCTGAACAAACTTTAAAGCTATCCGCAGCCAGTTAAGGAGGGGTAAATGATACCCGAGCCATCAGTTAAGACTCGGCCGAGCGGGCGCACGCAACAGAAACTGGCCAAGCGCAGACGATTTTCTGCGGCAGCCGGTACGGAGCGGGTAGGCTTAGCTCACCTTTGGGTGCCTGCGCTGTCGACGACGCCTTGTTGTCGGGCGATATCCTCTGATCAGGCGACTGTCTGCTTTTCATTCGGACACTGTCTTGCGCCCAGTACATTGGAGGCGAGGGAGACGACCTCCGGACAGCGTTCCTCTGCGTCGGGCTGCCCTGTCGCATCAACGCCAGCGGCAGCGTAGGGCGAACCGGCTTGCTGGACGCTGCGGCGGCCACGGAGCTAGGCGATAGCCGGATCCGCTGCGGAGGGATCGCCGACATTTGCGCTGCAACGCGTTTTTTAGCTCGGACTACGGCCCTTCTCGAAACAATACTGGCGACAAGGGAATGACCTCCTTGCTCTCAGCAGTACCGTCCGCTGTGAGAGTCGCCGGCCGGCGGTTGGCTTGCCGAGAGTGTTGTTTACAGCGCAGATCGCCAGCTCCTACGACGATGCACAGTTGGCAGACAAATAAACAGCCCTAAAGACAAGTTCGCCGAAGAATGGGCACAAAACAAACCTAATAGACGACGAACCTAATGAAACCCACCGAAAGAAACAAAACAACCCAGACGGCAGCGAGAAACACAGCACACGCAGGTCCCTGCCCGTGCCGTCTGTCAAAAAAAGAAATTCTCGCTCCCAGCCGGTGGCGCGGAAGACGTGCACGCTGCCAACGAGAGCGCAGATCACGTGATACACGCATGTGACCAAAAGGCGCGTTCGCTGTTGGACGGCCGTTCGCGCCGTTTATCAATGAAGAGGTGGAGCCTACACGCACTACGCCACAGGCGCGCGTCGTTGCAGCGGCGCAGAGGCTACCGACACTCTTGTTCCTCGCGCTTTCGCCGCACTGCCCCAGTAAACTACCATCACGTGGCCAACGTGGCACCAGCTGAGGTCACGACGACAGACATGTCAGCTGAACTTTGTGGTTCCCACCGCCATGGCGCAACCAACAATTTCGCGTTTCTGCACAAGGCCTTCCTTGTCAGCGTGAAGTAACGCTGGCCTTCTCGTCGAGGGCGTGGCGGTTAAAATACAAAACGAAGAGCGCGCACGTAGCAGACGAATTCCGAGTTTCCAGAACGCAGCATCTGCGCGCCGGTGCGTGCGACGCACCGGCCGCAATATTTGTAACGATCGGGCTACGGAGTAGCGGCACAGACTTTCCTCGCAAGAATGCCTACAATGTTTCTCGTGACAGGCGCGCAGCTAACGAGGCAAGCACGAAGGCCTCCTCCTCCTTTTCCATTAGCTCTTGCCTCGGGACAACGCTTATCGCGATCACTCTTTGAGACTCGCTTTTTCGCACTGAACAAAGCACTTTGAGGAACATGCACCACCGGACACACACTACGCACTAATCGAAATTGATGTGTGAAACTAGCAAGTTCGTATAAATCGAGCTTGTGCGGTTACAGCTAGGTGTCATAGCACACTGTTATAGCCACGTTAGCACGATCGCACCAACAAAGATGACATAGGGTGTCACTTAAATCCGCCGTACTGGTTGCGTCAGTGATACCTTGTACATACCTTGTCCTTATTTATACACTTTTATCCATTCCAATATTTAACGCATCTGGGCATGGTGGAGCCCCAAGGTAGTTGAGGTCCCCCACCCCCCCACCCCACATAGTTTAGCATCGGCACCATGATCATGCAGTGCTAGTGTGACACGTTTACGAACCAGCAGCCGGTTCATAAACCCTGACGATCAGTCAGCAGACGTGTCCGGTTGTTCACATAAGTATTCTGCACTTCTCTGAGTACCCCACTTCCCACCCCGCCATACACAAAAAGAAGCTACAACGACGAATGCAATTTGATATGCCCCGTACGGAAATTAAATTCATTTGAACATACATTGTTTATGAAACAAAACAAATAGAGAAGCTATCATCTTCAGTACGACAATGGAAAACAGCAATATCAAACCTAAGTACGCACTAATCATGATTAACTTAATAAAGAATAAAGACTAAATATTTATGACCGAAATAGAGTTGGCACGGTTTGCCGGAAAACCGCCGACATCAGTCGAACTCATCTATCTTACATAGTATATAGATACTTAATTGTTGAAACATTAAACCATTGCGCTGTCATGCTTTCTATTTTAGTTCCTACTATATGATATCGCCATTTTCGCGTAAACTGTACGGTGCATAAGTGAAATACACACTGGGAAGATTGTCGCCATTGCTGTGTCAGCTCAGTACTGCGCTCCATTCGCACGCTGTGGAGGCATGACTTTCTGATGGTAGTATATCCAGATAAGGTGTATTGTATGGAAGAATTACGACACAAATATAGAAATGCATACCGCAATTGACCGCATCGCTGCCCGAATGACCAATTCTATCAATGCAGTATCGGAATTGTTGGCCAGCCTAAAAAAACGAACTCTTAAACAAAATGTGTGAACTACAAAAAAAAAAGATGACGAAAAAAAACACGCCCGAACGGGGGCTCGAACCCCGGACCGTTAGGTTAAAAGCCTAACGCTCTACCGACTGAGCTATCCGGGCGGACGTGCGGTGAAGCTCTACACAGTAAGGTAGATGTCGCGGCGTTTTTTCGTGTGTAACGTTGAAGAAAGTTCATCATATTTGCATCCCGTGTTTGTTACACTAAAGTGCGAGTAAGCATAATAAAAAGACGGCCAAGTGTGAACACTAGGTACATGTGGAAGAATGCGCAGGATGATTCCTACAGAGACATTTAATTAAAGCAATCAATAACTTCATACTGATAAATTGTACACTAAAGAACTCTACTGTCGTTAATTTCCCCACCATGGGTTTATTCATAAATTAGAAGATCAATATAAAAAAAGCATTACTTTAAAGTTTCTCGCCTAAACCCTAACACACGTCGTAGCGAATATCAAAGTGTATTTTTCGCATTTTGGTGACATTAGAGCAATGAAATTTTCCGAGACTTTGTACGCTAAATCTTAGGTCCTAACAGAGTACCATGTACTTCATTTTCGCTTATTAGTAGGCCCTGGTAGACGCCGTTAAAATCTATGACCTCACGGTAACGCGTGAGTGACTTCACCACTCGCATTTTCTTCTTGCGTGTTTTCTCGCCTAACAGGCGTCTTCTTGCCGCAAGCACAATGATTTTTTAATTGTGAAATGGTGCTTTACGAGTAATGAAAAAAGTCGTTTCTTTATTGTGAATTTAATGCCGGCACTGGTATCAAAACGGGACATTTATAGTGCCGTCTACGCACTCGATTCATTCCGTCATCGAGGATCGGCAATCGTAACTGCAATTTTAGACCCGCAGATACGCTCAAATCGTAAATTTCGTCTCAGTTCCTTCCGATAGGGCAAAATATCAGCACACGTGCAATGTCTGTCAAACGCTGAGGTTATACGGAGCGAAATTATCCTTAACACAATTTTCTGGGCAACAGACTTGCCTTTTCTCCACTGTTTGATAAAAGAACACAGTTTTTTTTATATATATACAGCGAAGCTATCCTAGCTTGGAGTGAAATCTTGCGACCCAAAGTTATCACCGCGAACTGTAAAGCGCTCGCTGTCTTCTTCCTCTTCTGCTTCACTCGCCGAACCCGTGTGCCGATTTGTCCGGCGTATGGAAGAGGAGGAGGAGGAAGGGAAGAAATGAAAGGCAGGGAGGTCAAACCAGACGCACGTCCGGTTTGCTACCCTGCACTGGGGAAGGGGTGAGGGGATTAAAGGAGAAGAGAGAGAGAAGTGAAGGGCAACGTGTGTGTAGATGTGACCTTGTCCATTGCACGCTTATAAGCGTATGGACTATTTTACGAAAGACATGTGGATGCCGCCATCTTGGGAAGTTAGGTCGACGTTTTTTTTGTTTGTTTGTTTGTTTTTGTACTTTGCGATGAGAATTAGTACGGCTATGAAACAACGTATGCGCCAAATCAACTTTCCTCACTTTGACAACTTCGGTTTCTTCGTTGCGTACCGAGATCTAAGCACGCGCGGTATCTTGGCTTGAGATATAGTTGGTGAAGATTCCCAATTCAAGAAAACTTCTCGGTGCAGACTAAAACACGGACACAGGAGCCAACTTCTAACAAGTTTTGATTCAGAACGAAAAAAAAAAAAGCGCTTTCCATGATGCATTCCGAGACACGTGATAACGTAACCTTACGCATCGTCATACTGTTCAACTAACTGCACGCACGGTAATCAAATGAAACCGTTAAGTCTTGCCATGATAGCGAAGTATTCCGTCCTGAAGGAATCAGAATGCCCTATGATTGCATGGTTAATGTATAACATGCCTATAGCTGCGTCACTTCTTCATGCTCTTTTTCTCTTGCCTTGCCAACAAACCTCGTCATAGTGAATTTCGTCATAGTCACCTTGTCATAGTTAACCACCAAGCTGACGAAGCCAATCTTGGCATCGAAGCGGCGCTGTCTGACCCGGTCATGACAGTCTGTACTATATATCTATTCCTTTCCGCAACTAGACGGGATGAGGCAAACCACTCCGGGCAAACGCTCTGCAGAAAAAAAAAAAAAAAGTTAGCGTACTTCGTGGCACACGCCTTCTTGTTACAGCTGATCATGGCGCAAATACCTAAAAGTTTCCTCGGGGCTGACGTCATAACTTTGAAACGATGACAGGAGGTCAAATTTCTGAGGTTATGTGAAAAGGCACGAACGCAAGGAGGACTTACACAGGGCAAATTTTTGCTACTTTCGTTTGGCGTTTTCCATGTATATGTCTTGCCTCTTTCATGACGCTCTCGCGAACACTGATAAGGAAAAGGATGAAGATGTCCAACTTCACTTGTAAGGATGAGCTGGGATGTGCTACGACGCTGGTATTTAAACTATGAATGTACAGTCCTGGTCAAAAATTCCCAGGTCACGCTTCTATGGGACAATGGCCTGGGCACTTCTGAGACCCCCCCCCCCCCCCTTCTCCTCCATATGTTTTTTTGAAGGGATGATATACATCGGACCATTTAGCTGGAAAGGTTGATGTGCTTCATCTTGAACGGATCAACAGCGCGAAAGAACACAGGAACGAACAAAAGAAACGACAGACAACGGCGCTGACTAGCAAGAAAAAATTTTATTTAGAAAAGAACAGAATAAGTAGAAACTGGAAAATGAATAATGACAAACAACCATAATTCATGCGCAAAGTAACAAAAGTAACCAAAAATTCAAGTAGCTGATTAGGCATGAACATGTGGCAAGCTCTTACGACACGTCTTTCTGTGATTAGGCTATCGAATGTTACTGATGCACTTGTGACCTTCCGGAAACACGTAAAAGGCTTCCATGATTTCCCGTGTGCGCTGGTCTCTTGTCGTCGCTCGTTCGTCCCTCATCTTTCATGCTGTTTATTCGTTCAAGATGGACGCTATAAACACGTGGGAATGAGGCCTCTCTTCACCGCCTTCGAATAGGCTATGGGACACGGCAAGATACCTTTCTTGCATCGTTGACTATGTGTCCAACATATGCGTGCTCTGGCAAGCTTGTCGTTAGAGTGCACCATTATGCGAACGTTTTCATAGTGTTTACCTTTGCGGCTATTCCAGAGCTTCACTTTGTGGCAAATGGTGATCTGATAATTTTCGATC